GGGGGGGGTTAGGGATGGATTCCTGCGCCTCTTAATACCACACCAGGTGGTCTAATCCAGTCCAATACAGTGGTTTAGGGAGTTGGAGGACTGGACCCTTTGTGTTGTAAGAGGAATTTACTGGCTCCTGTTTCACACACTATCCCTTGACATACTGCAAGGTAACTCCACATAGTTTGGTGGGAAGGAATTGCAGTTCACTTCAATTTAGACTTACAGTTTATGGGTTAAATATTACAGCTGGACAAACTTTGGTGAAGCTTAAAATTCTTGATACATGATGATTCTGTGAGAATCGGGCCCATTTACAATATAACCTCAACCTTCTACTCCTCTCTACAAACACACACCCACGCTCCTGTTCTCATCTAATCCTCTCATAAACTTATGCAAGTTCCCAATTGATTCAGACAAAAACTTTCTGTGCAATTAACAACCTGGCAAATCCAGAGTGCCCTAAAACTCCTTTAGAGAAAGAAGAATGAAAAGAAAGGAAGAGGTCGTAATGAACGAATGAAAGGAAGACTTTTGAGGTGGTTGACGTCTGAGATACAGTAATACCTTATGCTGCAAGAAGCTTTTTTTTATCCTGAATTTGAGAGATTGAGGGAGGGTGGGTTTTGACCTGACATGAGTATTGTAAAATTAAGCGGCCTAACGTGCCGCAAAGAAGACAGACATAAAGAAAGAGAAAAGAAATAATCTGTTTTAGAGAGGGAGAGAACAGGGGGAGGGGTAAATAGTGCAGGAGAGAGTGTGGAAAAAAAAGAAAGAAAAAGAGAAGGAAGATTTAAAAGGAAGGCAACCATTGTTGGCTTTCTGTGAAGCTTTCACTGCTAAGCCGGTTTGAGTAGGGGTTTAATCGCTTCGGCTTCCTTTGTGTTTCTCTATCACTCCTGTCTGTTCCTCCTTTTCTAGCACTGATTTAATAAGACCACATCACATAAGCACCCCCAGGCAAAGAGCACACACAGACACCCAGAAATACACACTTTCACCTACAAATATCCATATAAACATATACATTTACTGTGCTTCCTGCATACCCACAGGTCTGCTGTTTACACACATGGAAGAATAACACTGTAAAAAGATGCTCAATAGGATGTTTTCTTTACGTGCTTGTCTTGTATGTGTTTTTTTGCGTGCAAGTATTTGTATAGTGACGTTGCTCGTTGTGCTTGTTCCTTGACAGTGTCACTGTTTTGGTAAAAAAAAAAAAAAAAAATGCAATTTCATGCCAAAAAGACTAGCATTATTAGCGTCTACTGGCACAATCTCTCTCAGTGAATCATCACTATGAGTGACTGAATCATTATAATTGAATAATAAATGGATGAATAGAGGTTTATGCCATTCAATCAATTTCTCCCTATCTCACCCTCTCCAACACACACAGATACACACACCATAAATATGCATCTATAAGCTGTTCTCTTCAATATCTTTATAAACAGCAGCATTTTATTGATTTCTTAAGGATGTTAAGAGCAGTATAAGACACTGATATAAAGAAATTACAAGGGTAAAATAATGGACAGTGATAACAATAAATTAATATTAAGCATATAATAAAGGAATAAGGCACTCAGTTGCCCTTGGATTAGCTTCAATCAAGTTATGTCATACAAGACCAATAATGTGTATAGGGAGATATACTTCAAGAAAAGCCTTCAGCCATGAACCAATATTTCTCAACTTACAGTCTGTGTTGACAATGTGTAATGAGATGCAGTTAATTCTAATTCAGTGGTAATTGCCCAGGTTCTAGATGTGTGTAGTTTATTATCCTGTCTTTGCCAGTGGGGTTTGGCCATGTTTTGGCATAGGATGATGTGCACCTTCCCACATACAAATCAAGCACAGATCATTTTGATCAGCTATACACTTGTTGCTTGAAAATTTGAAGACAGGGAACACCAGACCTCTTACAGGTGACACATACAGTTACATGAAAAGGAAATTGTTGTGCTTCTATTATTTTATCCACAGCTTTCCATGTAAAAGTGCAGTATACAGTACAAACACAATACAAATGTACTATGTAACTATTTGATGTTTAATTTCTGTGCAGTTACGTTTATGGTTGTCACACGGGGAAGTCAGTGGGCGAACCAGACAGCTATCCTTAGTATTTTGATTTATGAGGGACGTGCTCAAGGGTGATAAATCCTCCTTATACCTCACTGAGCCGTGTCCAGGCTAGCCTCTATTCCACTCGTTTCTGTAACTCAATGCAATCTCCCATTCAGCATTTCTTTCATTCGTCTTTTTGTTTGTGGGGTTTAATGTCCATACTTGGAGACAAATCTGCATCCACTACAGCAGTTAGACCCTGGAACCTTTGTGATTTTAACAAAGTTTAATAATTACTTTGTAAGCACAGAAAAACCCTACAGCTCCATTAGTCCATACCCATAAAATTCACCAAAGCTCTCTCTCATTTTTCCAACTTTCTAGCCCAAATCTCTGCTGTCTTCTTCACCATTCTGTCCTGCTGTTATTACAGACTTGTCTGAACTAACCCCAACCCCTCAACTCGCCCATGGACTCGCTTCTCTTGGTGAGCCGTGACATTTAGCCTGCGAATGCTGTTAAAGGCTGCTTAAAAGTGAATAAACAATGATATTAGATTGCTTTTTTGGTCTTTATTGAGACATGTGATGCAATCCACACAACACACTGTTAAGAAAGGATCTGAGAAAGGCTGGATTTTGAATAAGGCCAATTTGCCACAGAGTGCACTACATTTACAGTCTGACATTTTATTTGAGTGACCACAGTGTGTAAATTTATAGTGCCCTCATAAATTCTGCAATGGAACTAAAAAAGTAGTCTACACTACATTCTGCTGATCCCACAATGGAATGTGCTGCATTTTATAGATGCAGAAATTACTGTTGACTTTATACCTGTCAATGATAATGCAAAATGATGATGATTAGTAAATATTCAAGATCTCAATTTACTGCTCACTATTGAGTGTCCATTATATAGGGAGTAGTGAATGAGAGGGAATCATTTTGGACACAGACTCAGTTTTACTTCGGCTATCTATATGACCCAGGTTTATGACATCTCTCTAAGACACTAGCTGATGTGAATAACGAGTGGAGCGAGTGAGGGACGGAAGGCTGATGATGCAGGGAATCAGTGCCAGAAGGAATCAGAGTAAGCAAGACATGATGCAAAGACTTGTTAATGTCAGTCTCACATCAAATAACATTTTTAGGTTTGGTTTTTATGCGTGTGAGTCACAGTGTACAATGTTTATGAGAAATAATTACTTCTGTGAGGATTTGCAGCCTACGTGTTTTATGACCTGCAGAGTTTTATAATGTATCTTAATATAGTTACAAGCCAAAAAGACATAATGAGGCAGTGTGAGTTGATGAGTGCAACAACTAGACCTGGCGTAACTGGACTGGGGCCTGTTAATATATAATGATTAGAGGGTATACCACTAGTTCTAAGAAGTGGACAGAGGCCAATTTGTTGAGCTTGTTATGCAAATGAACAGTAAATATGAAAAATGTTATTAAAAAACAAACACCCACACTCAACTGCACCAAAGAGCATCAATCTGAAGAAAAGACCAGTCGCAAACCATCTATAATGGTTATGTATCATGATATCATCTCCTTGTATGAACACAACCCTCTAGCCTTTACACTGCCAGCTTTTACTGTATACATTTTACTTTCCTTCACAAACTTTACCAACTCGAAAATGTCATATTAGTTATAAATAGAGGTTGCAGTGCATCCAGTGAATTGTATTGCAGGCACCTGGATGGCCTCTGTTTATCCATCGTGATGTCATACAGTCCTGCAGGGACTGTAAGTTACATCTCTTTCTCAGAGTCAGAAGGTCACAGATTTGCTGGGCAGGATGAAACAGCCAACAGGTTGAATTATTAGCTTTGACATCTCAGACACGAGCCATGCAGAGACTGTGACTCAGCAGAAGACTTTTTCCTTCTCTCTGCACCTCTCTATCTCCCTAAGGGTTGGACAATGGCACTGCTGCAAAAACACGCAGGGTTTTCTCATTCAATTCAATAAGACCATTGCAAGTGCACAGAGGGCTACACCAACAAAACACAGGATGCTCCGATAAAAATAAAAAAAAGTCAATTCTTTCTGTTACACTTTGCAATGTCATTCGCCAACACTCATTCGCAAAGGTTGAGACAGGAGAAAGTCACTGTCATACAGGATGTTTCAGTGTTTTGGAATTTGAGAAGGTTTCAAATGGACTTTTTGGTTTGTATTTCATCTTGAAAATGTACATACCAATGCAACCCCTTCACATTGTTTCATTGTGAGGAAACACTTCTTCAAATATTTAAACTACTTTTATGTGATTTCTTTCCTGGTGTACCCCCAAGTTTATGTTCATTCTTGTGTATATACCAGCAGAAAACCCTACTGAGATGCTAGTGTGTG